GAAAGAAATATGCTTTTGTTAATTTAAAGAAAAAAAAAAAGGAAAAAAAAAGGGTGAAAAGGAGGAATGTAAAGGAAAATTCTAGAACAGCTTTTTGTCCCTAAAACGAGGAAGGAGAATAATCAAGAGGACAGTTCTGTTAACATTTCACATAATACTTACTTTTTATTGCTGTGTGTTTAAGTGGTAACAGCAAAAATGAAAAGGGTGATGTCAAAGAGTACGTGTTGTTGGTTTTCTTTACTTTGCCTTCATTAAGCAAATAATGCAATTGTAATTAAATAGACAAAAAAAAAAAGGAAAAAAAACGTTGGAGAAGAACAAGTTGATGTGACGGAGATCCGCGTTGTGTTTTTTTTTTGATTCCAATATAAAGAAGAGGAAACTTTCCATTGTGTGCTATTGCACCTACGTACATATGAAGATTTATTCAAGGAAAGAACTTTACTAACCAAAGTCAAATCCTAGACATAAGTTTGTGTTACATACCTCAAACCCATGCATGTGAATAATTATCAAAAAAAAACTTTTTTCAAACATTGTATTTTCTTTACGCAAGCCTAGGAGTAATCGAAGGCAACAAATTGTAAACAACTGAAAGTAACTAAAAGAATAAAAAAAAAAAAGGGAGCAAAAATTAACAAGATGTTTTCTCTATTCGGCACTGTGGTAACAATTTAGTGAGTGTTTTTTTTTTTCTCTGGCCTGCTTCACCATACGTCCCAGAATTAAGGAGTGACGGAAATAGTGCAAAGGAAATAAATAAAAGCAAAAGAAGGTGAACAGCGACAGCAACAGCGACGTGTTAATTATCAACAGCATTTACGGCCACAGCCGGCAATCACCGATAGGGTGTCGCATCCACCATTCTCAGCCTTTGGTTATCCTGTGAAGCATCCGCCTGCAGTTGTTAGAGATTCACCCGTAGAACGGCAGAAGCAACAGCAACGGCAACAATTTATTGGGGGCATTGTGATAGCTGCAGCCGACAGTGAAAGTGGTAATATTCATCAAGCGAACGATCACCATCACCACCACCACCATACTTGTACTGTAAGTTATGTTACTTTTTCTTTTAAGATACCTAACTCTGTTGTTCCCCATGAGGGGTTAAGCGTGCGCTGCCACCGCTGTGGCTGAGGTGTAGGGGCGTGCATCTGGTGGCCATGTAGGGCCGACGCTAGACGGTGACCGACTGACTCACTGGTGACAGACGCACAGCAGGAGACCGACCGGACCTTTTCGTTTCTTTTAGTTTGATTTTTTTTTCTATTGTTTTTTTCTCTTCCTTTGTCTAAAGAAAAAAATTTAAATCCTCCGCGGCGAGGAAAAGAAAAAGAGTTTCATGACAATGTGCTTCTTCCTTTAAGCTTATGTTCCTCATTTTTTATTTTATTAACACTAAACGTACCATGCGCGGTCAAATGACCGTTTTCAAACTTTCGTTTAAAATTTCTCGCATAAAATGTTATTGTATCATCATGTATCTTATTGACTTTTCCTAAAATATACATACAAACTATTTTTCAATATTTACAACTTTTTTTAATGTGTATTTTCCGAAAAAAAATTATACCATGTCTAGTCTACCTGGCGCGGTCATTTGACCGCTTGAAAAATTTATGTTATTTACGACTA